TGAATGCTTGAGGGGAAACTTCACCTCGGACCTGTCCATGACCCACCCCTTCGCTTGCACCCCACATAGTCTGTCAGGAAGTGGGGGCGCTTCCTCCTTAGTCAGGAATCCGGTTACATCTCAGCGCCCCCTCTGCTCCCCGCGGCAGCCCTTCCAGTTGGCCGCTCTCCAATTCGGATTACGGCGCTGGGCGCCCAACTGTAAGCGCTGAAGGGGAATCTTACCCAGCGTGTTTCCTAATGGGCGCTGTTCTTCTGTAGACGCGGGCATTCCAGTTCCGCGCACGCGACTCCTGTCTGTGACCTGTTTGAGCCGCGGTCATGGGGATGGCTTCTGTTGCGGGGCGATGGGCATCCTGTTCCCTGCCTTCAGGAAGTCACCTTGTGAGACGCGAGCAAAGCCATTGATCACATGAATTACGTGACAGAAGCACAGAGATAAACAGTAGCTCCAGCTGAAGTTGAGGCAGAGCGAGCTCCCCTGCGTGGATTCAGGGGACTGGAGGGGTGTCGCGGAGCGGGGTGGGCCTAGCAGTGGCAGTGGTGCTTTGTGATCACGCGGAGACCGGCATCCGCCGAGGCTGTGGAGGGGAGGTGAGCCGGTGGACACAGGAGGCAGGTTCACGGGAAGGCTGCTGGGACGCCAGGACCAAGCGGGTTCAGGTCACAGAGCCCCCTTGCTAAGCCCGGGGAGGCCTGTCCGGGGACAGGACTGTGTGCTGAGCGCCCTGGGCTGGGCGGCAGAGGGGCGTGGGCCCGCCAGCACTGGGCAGAGGCCGTGAGGGGCGGAGAGGTTCTGCAGACCACGGGGCTGGAGTGAGCGTGGCCCAGGGCTCCCTGACTTAGCCCACGTCCTGGAACCCCCTCAGCTACAGGCGAAACGGGTGCCTGACCCTTTAAGGACAGACCAGAGGAGCAGGTGGTGCTGAGGACCAGGCCAGGGAGAGGGTGAGCCCGCAGAGGGCCGGGCAGTGGCCCGCAGGGGCAGGGCCTCGCAGAGTGGGCGGCCAGCGGGGAGCTGGCTCAGGGTTCGGCGGAGCGCAGTGTGGCCAGATTTGGTGAAAAGCCGCAGTGTCAGAGCCACTTGGTTTATGTGACTGTTTTTAAAAGAAAGTATTGTAGCCACTGGATTTCCAGAGTTATCGCACACTAAGTTATCGCACACTAAGCGCTCCCCGTCATGCAGGCTTACTGTGTGCCGGGCACCTTGCTGGGTTTTCCAAATGTCCTCACCTTTCCTCCTCGTGACCCGCCTAGAGCAGCTCTGTTATGCCCCTCACCTCCTAGATGAGGAACTGGGGGCTGAGAGAGGAAGCGGCTTGTGGGGTCCCGTGGCTGATTCATGGCAGGGAGAGACTGGGCCCTGGCAGCCCCGCCAGGCACTGCGGCCCACCGGCCACTGCTTGGCAGCAAGGAGCAGGGTCCATACTATTGTTCTCTTTTACCCCCAAGTACTACATGCCAGTTCCAGAAAGATTATAACATAGGGACTGCCAGAGGAATATGCAGAATTCCCTAAAGCCCCTTCGCTTAGAAACGAGCTGTATTAACACCGTTGTCAATAGCTTTTTCTTTTGGAGGCACATGCGTGTGCACGTGTGCAGACACACACATACACAATACATATACATAAACATATAGTGTACAGTGTTTTTCCATAAATATTACATTTAATAAATCTTCTAAAACCAATTATTAGATATTTTATCTTTCTAACTTACATCCTTGGGCATTTAAGCTGTTTTAACATACATATACATTTATTGATCTCAGAGAGGAAGGGAAAGGGAGCGAGAGACAGAAACGTCAACGATGAAAGAGAATCACTGATCTGCTGCCTCCTGCACGTCCCCCAGTGGGGATCGGGCCTGCAACCGGGCATGTGCCCTGACCGGGAATTGAACCGAGACCTCCTGGTTCATAGGTTGACACTCAACCACTGAGCCACGCCGTCCGGGCAAGCTCTTGTCACTCTTCGGTATGACGAACAGCATAGAGTAGAAGTAAGTAGCTGAAAGTGACGTGCACATAAAACCAAGTGAAAGAAGCCTGAAAACACAAGAAATTCGGAGCGATGGGCAGGGATGCAGGAGATGATGACGGCTGTCAAGTCACCCTGTGGGGGTCTCCCCGTCCCCAATACGACGGCCACCGGAGGCGGAGAGCGGCTGCTCTGGGACAGCTGTGACATCGAACAGCCTCTTTCAGCGAAAGCGTTTTCAGCGGAATCACCCAGAGCCGGTGGCAGGAACCCAGAGGTACCGGGAGGCAGCCAGCCCTTGGGGTGTCATGCTGGGAGCGGCTGTTACAGAGGGACTGTGTGCAGGGCAGTGCCAGCCAACCCAGCGACTGGCCGTGGTGGCTGCAATAAAGTGAATTTGGGGATCTGAACATTAGAACGTGAGCATCAGGTAGCGAGTGGCCGGGCGGGCGGATGCGGGCAGGGAGGGGGTGCTAAGTCTGAGGCCGGGCCAACGGGCCTGGCGCCTTCTTGCCCAAGGGCTGGCGGCGGCTGGGAGGAGGCAGCGGGTGCGGGGATCACCCCGAGTCCGGAGGTGAGGCCTCTGGCAGGTTCCCACCGGGAGGCCCTGACAGGAGGAGAAGGTCATGAATGGCTGTTGAGGGATGAAACCCATTCACTGCAGGCCAGGAGGCAATTGAGGGGAAACTTCTCAAAGCCGTTGCGGTAGCCAGGGGACGGGAAGAGGCCCTGGTCAGGCAGCGGTGGGAGAAGCTGTCTAGACCAGTGATGGCGAACCTATGACACGCGTGTCAGAGGTGACACGCGAACTCATTGTTTTGGTTGATTTTTCTTTGTTAAATGGCATTTAAATATATAAAATAAATATCAAAAATATAAGTCTTTGTTTTACTATGGTTGCAAATATCAAAAAATTTCTATATGTGACACGGCGCCAGAGTTAAGTTAGGGTTTTTCAAAACGCTGACACGCCGAGCTCAAAAGGTTCGCCATCACTGGCCTGGACAGTTCCCTGGAGAATGGGTTGGAGCCGCAGCCGGAGGGACACCGCTGCTCCTCCACGCCCCTGGCTCTCGGGGCTCCTGCAGGCTTCCCGGAGCCGCAGCGCTGCCATTCCCCGCAGTAGGTTGAAGGGACTGCTGCGTTCAGACCGCTCTGTGTCAGAGCCCGGGTAGGCGTGCCGTGTCGTGTGACTGTGGGCAGTTTCAGTCCGTGCATCATGTTTTAAAATTAAAAATCGCTCTTTTCCTGGCGCCGCGAAGGCCGGCACCACATTAATGACTAATACGCACGCTAGACGTTTAGCTAATTAGCTTTCTTGGGTGCTGACGAGATAAGCACGGAGATTTATGACTGTTCTGAAGGCTTCGCCGGGTGCGTCCTCGGTTGCTTTGGGTAACGCTTAGCAGGTGGCTTACGACTCCCGGAAAGTGCTGCTTCTCGTGAATTTAAGAAGCGAGCGCTCTGCTGCGTGTCTGCGTCGGTGTTTGTTGGTGTGTGTTGGTGCGTGTTGGTGTTGGTTGCATGCAGAGTAACGGCTGTTTGGAAGCTAGTTCCGTGTTCTCAGTTAGACCTCACTTTTTAGGGTCCCGGAGTCACGGGATTCAAAACCTTCCGGGAATCTCTGCGTGTTACGGGCGCCCCCTTTCAGGAGCTGTAGCCTGTGGTCGGGTGTGCTCCCGGCTTTGAACTTGGAACCCAGCCTCCCGTGTGCAGTATCTGATGGACATGACCATCCTTTCTCCCTTCCAAGGCATTTTCTAATGTATTTTGTTTTTAAAATTACAAAGTAATCTGTCTGTGGAGGGAAAAATCTAAGAGCGTTGAATATAGACTCCCCCTTCTCCCACCCCAAACGAGAACTGTAAACAGTTTGATGCATATTTTCCCAGTCTTTCTTGTGTATACATACTAGTACATACATGCATGCGTGTGAACACACACTCCTCCTCCTCCCGCTCCCCCCTCACCCCCCCCCCCGTTTCACCACGAGCGCTGTGACCCCCAGAGGAGAAGGAGGCTCCCTCTGTGCTGAGCCTAGTGGGATTTCACTCCTGTTGGAGCTTCTGTCTTTGTCCCTCTCCCGTCCCCCCCACTCCGCCCCCCGTCCTCCCTCAAGCTTCAGTAAGTCCAGGCTGGCTTTGCCTCTCTCCACCCTCAGCAGCCACGCCAGGAGCCCACGCAGGACAAGTCCCCAGGCCTGTGGAAGCCAGCCTTCCCGCGCTCCTCCCGGGACCACAGCTGCCCGGTGGGTGGCTCCCTGCAGCCGGCCCAGGCAGCAGGCCCCGTGCTCACTGATGGCCAGTGTGCAGGTCCCCGGGGCTTCTGTGGCCTCCCTCCCCTGTCTGTTAGGGGCTGAGATTTCCCTTGCGGTGGTTAGCCATCCTTTCAGCTCCATTGGTTTCTGTCTTCTGGGATTTTCTGAAAAGCTTTGGTACGTGGGTGGGACTTGTTTTCCCCTCCCTCTGCCCCTGAGGTGGGGTTTGGGTGCCACGGGGACCCAGACGATGCTCTGAGCCCCCTGGTACCATGTCTTTTTGCTGTTTCCGGTCCAGCGCTTTGGAAATGGTTTCAGGGTTTGGTTTGTGCTGAGACTTGAAAGTTCGTTTTTCTTCCGGATTTGCATGAAACGTTATTCAACATGACTTCATTGATATGTCCTTGCTCCCTGTCTGGGTGCAGAAAGGACACTCACTTAGCAAGGTCCTTCCTGATGCGTTTACGGGCCTCAGGGCGGCCGGCACAGGCCAATTAATGATGCGCCAGTCACTTTCAGAAGATTAAACAGTTACCCTCATTTTATTTGATGTCTATAAGTGTCACTGTCTATAACATATGTTTGTATTTTATGTGAAGGTGACTGAATATTGTCAGTTTCCCTTTTCAGTATCCAGACTAACTGGACATGAAAACAGTAATAGTGCCTTTTCAGGGTGCATGGCCCCCAGTCTCTGCAATGACTTCTTAATTCCCGCCGGAACTTCCCCGGTTTCCACTGAGCTGTGTTGGTCATGCAACAGGAAGGAGAAAACATTTTCTACCTGGCGGTGGAAGACATAGAGTCAGACACAGAGCTGCTGATCGGCTACCTGGACAGTGACATGGAGGCCGACGAGGAGGAGCCGCAGACCCCGCCGATGGCCCCGGAGCGGGGAGGCCACCTCGCTCAAGGGGACTCCACTCCTGGCAGGACAGGTACGACCTTGCCTCGGAGACCCAGCGGACAGAAGTGGAGGAGAAACAGAACTGGGGTGAATGGTGGTTGCAAAATGGAGCTAGCTTTGCCAGCACTGTGCTCGGGGGTGCCCAGCTGTGCGCCCAGCTTTCTGCCAGCGGGGGGAGCATGCTGGGCGTGGTGACAGGTGTGCCCTGCATCACGGCCACGGTCACGGGAAACCCGGCTGTTCTGGGTTCACGGGGGGAGGGGGGGGTGCGGGGCAGCGTGGAGGGGTGGAGCAGGAGGGAGGACTTCACCTCTAGCCCTGCACCTGCCTTGTGACCTGGCAGGTCCCCGCGTCTCTGAGACTTAATCTCCCTTGTCCCGGGACATGAAATAGTGTCCATTACTTAATTACGTCTCCTACTTCTGTGTTACTGCCCCTATTGTTCTTTAGTTAACAAAATAGCAATTTCCGTTATTTTTGTGAAGAGAATAAAAATTAATAGATTTTAAAACATACGAATTAAGTACTTACATTGTTGCTATTTTTATTTAGAATAAAACTCCAAACCAAAACAACCAACCAATCAATAAATAACAGAAGCTGCCCTGGACAACGTGGCTCCGTGTTTGGTGCACTGGCCCACTCACCAAAGGGTAGAGGGTTCGATTCCCGGTCATGGGAACTTACCTGGGTGGCAGGTTCGATCCTAGGCCAGTCAGGGCACGTGTGGGAGGCAACCAGTCGTGCCTCTCACATCCAAGTTTCTCTCTCTCTCTCTCTCTCCCTCCCTCCCTCCTTCCATCCCTTTCACTCTCTCTAAAAATCAATGGAAAAAATATCTTCGGGTGAGATTAAAAAATAATAATCCTATATAATAAAAGCCTAGTATGCAAATAGACCGAATGGCGGGCGGAACAACTGGTGGAATGACTGGTTGCTATGCTGCACACTGACCACCAGGGGGCAGATGCTCAATGCAGGAGCTGCCCCCAGCCCACAGGCCCCAGGCTGGCCAAGGTGGGTGCCAGCAGAGGCCCCTTGATCACCCCGCCGGTTGCCCCACAGATCATCCCTGATCGCTGGCCAGGGCGAGGGATCCTACCTGTGCACGAATTTTGTGCACCAGGCCTCTAGTACAAGATAAAGAGAAACAAAGGAGACTGCCCAGATGTCTAACAAGGAAGAGCTTTGTTAAACAAATTATGGAACCTTCACGTAAAACAATTATTTTTTTTGTTACCTTTCCATGTTAAATGGATAAAAGAGCGACATATAACATTGCATATGAAGTGTGATCATCCAAGTAGCTCTTTCTAGGCTGAGTGTAACATATGAAAGCACAGAACCCGTCAGAAATGGATGGAGTGCTTGTCTCTTCCTGCCTGGATGGTTGGTGAATTTTATTTGCTTCAGATTTTCTGCATTTTCTACATATACGCTCATTTGATAATGAGACATGATATGTAAGTTAAATGCACGCTCGACCAGAGCTGTGGTGGCAGGCAGGATGGCCAGCGGCAATGGGGTCTCCCTGGCCTGCTATCAGGGCCTGTCACATAGACGTGACATTCCCCTTGCAGATGCAGCATAGTCCTCGGCTGGATGGTCTCTTCATGTATCTAAACATGAGCTTGAGGTGACCCGTTTTGGGGGGAACCTGCCCCCCTTTGTAACGTACCACTAGCTCCTTGCCGTGAACAGTTAACATTACAGGGAAAGTGAAACACAACTTTGTAATAACTTGGCACAACACAAGTGAAATTATTAAAAACAAACAAACAATGTCTTTTTCTCTAGTCACACTTCCTATTACTTTTCACGGGCAACACTGTTCCTGTTCATAGAGACGAGACGAATGTTCAGTTCTGATCCCAGGCAGCACAGCTGATGTGGTTTTAAAACGCGGGCGACCTGAGAGCTCTTCTCATTCGCGTCCGATAACCTGTGCCCTTGTGACCGCGCAGGCTGCCGCGGCTGTGGCGAGGACCACGCCTGTCCCCAGTGCGAGTCCAGCTTCCCCAGCGAGGAGGTCCTGGCCGAGCACCTGCACGCGCTGCACCGGTCGCCGGACGGGGAGAAGGAGTTCAAGTGCAAGCCCTGCGGGAAGAAGTTCCCCGTGCGCCAGGCCCTGCAGAGACAGTGCGTATGCAGAGCACAGCTCTGACCCAGGGACTTTGGCTCCCCGTGGCTCTAACCTGCGTGTGTGTGTGTGTGTGTGTGTGTGGCAGACACGGGGGGCGGGGGGGGAGGTCAGAGCTCCCAGGGTCATTGTCATTCACTCATCTCCCTGTAGTGTGTTGGCGTTTGAAACGTCCTGGTTGTGAGTTTAACTAGTGACATGGCTTATGCAAACCAGTATTTGTCCATTCGCTAACTTGCCCCTCACGCCCCAGCTCATTGGTTTACTAATCTGAACTTAGTCACGCAAATCGCAGCGGGTGCGTGGAGGCGGCAGGCCACGCCTCAGTGGTCTGCGTCGATGTTCCCACTGAAACCAGGGCGAGGCGAGTGTGGGACACACAGAGCTCAGAGCACAAGGAAGGCAGGGACCGTGGGGACGCTGCTGCTTTGAGGAGTCACTTCCGTGAATGTGTGAGGCCATGGCGCCAAGATGGCGTACATGGTCCCGCCCATTGCTCCCCACCCTCTGTCACCCGAGGGATATGTCAGCAGCATGTAACACTGTTCTTTCACTTCAGCGTTTTACAGGATCAGGAATTACTACTAGTAAAAGTGAGAGAGTAGATGCATGCATTTGGGAACGTTTATGTTGAACAGAGCGTCATTTGCACGTGAGCAAGAACTCCCCAGCATAGGGTTAGGGTTTTATTCGTTCATTCATTCACGTGAAATTCTGAAATCGGCCACGTTTCTTAGTCACTGCCCGGTGTTATACACATCCGCTTTGGCTTGTGAAACTTGAGAGGAAGATGTCTGCCCAACACTTAAAACTTAAATATGTTAAATTTTATACTAACAAGAGATGAAGCATTTGGAAATTCTACTACAGGCTCTTAAACACACACACACACACACACACACACACACACACACACACACACACGGACTGAGCACTTTAAACAGAGGTTAAGACTGCGTCCCGGTCAGCTTTTATTGAGTTTGGTCTTATATATCCTGCACCTGAGCTGGCTCTTACAGTTAAGTTAGGGTCTCCTCCCAGTCTTAACGCGCTCCCTGACTGTTCAGAGAGAGGCGATTTCATGCGTCTTTGTTCCTTGTCTTTCCTCCTCAGTGCTCTTCAGTGCCCGGCCAAAGGCAGCCCGAAGGACTCGCCCCGAAGCTTCCAGTGCTCCGCCTGCAACGCGCCCTTCAGCTCGGCGCCCAGGTGTGTGTGGGTGAGCAGAGGGCTGTGGGGTCACGAGGTCCCCGCGGGTCACTGTGGAGTGCACTCATCGGGCCTCCCCGTGGCTCGGTGTTCCGGGCCACAGACCTGAAACGCTGTCCTTTCTGCCCGGTAATGCACGCGGTAACCCCGGCCCGGGCTGGGGCACGCGCTCAAAGCCCCTCTGGCCCCTCTCCCTGCCCCGCAGCTGCGAGCAGCACCAGGAGACGTGCAGGGGCAAAGCCAGGTTCGTGTGCAAGGCCGGCAGCTGTGGGAAGCGGCTGAAGAGCAGGGATGCCCTGAAGAGACACCAGGAAAACGTCCACGCGGGTGAGGGGTCCTGGAGGGGGCTCTGACGGGCGTCCCCTCCCGGCCGAGCCGTCTGTCTGTCCACGGCTGTCTGTCTGTCTGTCTGTCTGTCTGCAGCCCTCTGTCTGTCGCTGTGGAGCAGACAGCTGGCCTTCCCTCCACGCGTGTGCGGACAGGCGTTCCCTTTCCCCTGACACTGTTTCTTTTCCAATTCGATTTCGGCAGATTGTCATTTTCCTGCCTGAGTTCATCTGCCTTCTTATCCTTAAAGGAAAATTCCGCTTTTTAACACTTCTCTTCTCCTCTGTCGGGGAGAATGACCGGCTGCCTTGTGCCATGGGGGTTGATTGACTGTTTGGATGAGGACAGCAGATGCCATTGTATTCTTCCGATGGCTGGGTAAACAACGACGCAGGCGTGAGAGGCGACCGTCACGGGGTTGCATCCGCCTGACACACGGTGACTGTTTCGGTTCAGGGACCGAATGCACTGCACTGAGCCAAGCAGACCCCGCACCCTCAGAGCTCGCTTTCCTCCCCGGGAGGCGTGTCCGTAGAGGAGGGTGCAGTCCCAGAGCCCCTGCTGCACCCACTTCCTCCAGGGCATCCTACTGCCTCGGCTTCTGGGCAGTGGGTGGCATGTCTTTCTGATACGAGGAAACTGGATTTCTTGTCCACGACCTTCACATTCAGGAGAGGAGGGTGATCAGGGTCAGCCTCACTGTCCCTGTTTGTGCCTTGTCTCTAATGCTGACACGCAGGGTGCTGCCGGCTGGTGTGAGTGAGTGATCTGGCACTTCCACCTTGTCTGGGCTGCCCTTCAGGTGTGAGCTGCGTGTGAGCCCTGGAGAAGGAAGGACTGGCCTGGAAACAGAGCTTCCGGATGCCCATGCATCTGTGGCCCTTTAAGATTGTTAATAGTCCCTAATTTAACTGTAAGAGCCAGCTCAACAAAAGTGTCTTTAGTGTAGAATATACAATACTAAAGTCAGTAAAATCTGACTGGAATGCAGTTTTAAACTCTGTTAAAGTGCATAGCCCTCAAGTGTTTTTTAAGTGCCTAAAATAGAATTTCCAAATGCTTAAATCTCATTATTATAAAATCCTATATAATAAAAGGCTAATATGCAAATCGACCAAACAGCGGAACGACCGGTTGCTATGATGCACATTGACCACCAGGGGCAGACACCCAATGCAGGAACTGCCCCTTGGTGGTTAGTGCTCTCCCACAGGGGGAGCACCACTCATCCAGAAACCGGGCTCACAGCTGGCCATGAGCCTCTCCTGCCTCCATGGCAATGCTAAGGATATCAGGCTGAGGGACACCCACCCCGCAGTGCATGAATTTCATGCACCGGGCCTCTAGTTTTAACATATTTAAGTTTTGAGCAGAAGTTTCCATCCGCAGGGCTGTGCTGTCCCTTTCCTGGAGGGTGTGTGCGGGTCTGAGGAGGCTGCATTGCCTGTACTCCTGGCTCCTGGCTCTGCATGGCCCGCCTTCATCGTCCATGTCGAGCTGTCGGGTGTAACACGCTCTTCTCCTTTTCTCCGTCTCCGTCTCCGTCTGTGATGTGTTACAGCAAATCTTTCTTGTCGTTTGTGAAGTGAGTCTGCGGTGTAAGTGGAAAGCCAGATGTGGAAACACCTCTGGGACTGTGCGTTCTCCCCGTCGCCGGGCGGGCGGTCTCCAGCCTGGGCTCCCCCAGCCCCAGCTCTGCGGCAGCTGGTCACTGGCCTTGGGCCTTATAATCCTACTCGTTCTGGAAGCCCCTGGCGGTTTTGTAGGAAAGCGTTTATGAAGCGAAGTGCTTGTTTTGCTCTGCAGCGGGCGGGTCATGGAAAATGTGGGGCTTACTGTGCAGCCAGAGGTCGCCGTGCCCACCCTTCGCTGGGCCTGGCACCCCGTCTGTTTCGTTCTGAGCCTCTTGCTTCTTCCTTTCCTCCGTGGCCCGCACAGACTTTTGGGGAAAGGATATTCCATCTTGAGAGCAGTGTCCACACAGGGCGGTGGGATCCTTTGCTGGGAAGGCCGGTATTCCAGGAGAGAGACGGTCTCCCCGCTGTTACACTGATGGTGACAGATGGTCCTTTTAGGGATATGAGTTGAAGATGCTGAGAAGAGAGAAGCTGAGTTGTTGTTTTTTTTAATATATTTTTATTGATTTCAGAGAGGAAGGGAGAGGGAGAGAGAGAGAAACATTAATAATGAGAGAGAATCATTGATTGGCGGCCTCCAGCACGCCCCCTACTGGGGATGGAGCCCGCAACCCAGGCTTGTGCCCTTGACCAGAATTGAACCTGGGACTCGTTGGTCCTTAGGCTGACGCTCTATCCACTGAGCCAAACTGGCTAGGGTGGGCCCTAAATATTTTTGAAAATGGAATCTGAAAGTCAGATATCAGATTTGCCTGAATACAGGAAAACTGAAGTAGTGTACAGGCTAGTGTTGGCTTGCTAGGAGCTGTTGTCCTTGAACCTAGGGATGCTGGGAGGATGGAGAGAACCTTTAGGGTCACCCAGGACAAAGCAGAGTGAAGGTGCTGACTCCCTTAGCCCCCTTCCCACCTTTCCCCTTCGCCCAGATCCTGTGGATGCTCACTGAGATTTTGTATTTATGGGCGATAGCATTTATCTCCATTCTCAGGTAAATAGTCATAAACTGTCCCCCGATCTCTTCTGGGAGGAGCTGGGACTCCAGTGCTAGGAGGAAGATGAGAAGACGTGAAGAGGAAACGCTGAGAAACTCTACTTCCAATGCTCCTCATTTAGCTCTTGGTGGTGTTTTGTTCTGTTTCAGGAGATCCTAAGAAAAAGCTCATCTGTTCCGTGTGCAATAAAAAGTGTTCTTCAGCATCCAGCCTGCAGGAGCACAGGAAGGTCAGTGGCATAAAGATGAGTGCCCATCAGAGCGTCCGATGTTTTTAGTCATGTATGGTGTCTGCCGTGTACATCTAAGTTGATTTCTTATATTGTCATTGATTTCAATAAAAACACAGTAACATGAAAGACTGAGATGTAGAAGAGTAACCTCGTCCAAAGAATATTCTGAGCTCTTGTTCAGAATCAGTAGACATAGTTCCTGAATATTTCCTTCTCCTACAAGCTTGATCCTTGCTGCTTGTTCAGATCTTGGTAGACCTCGATCCTAGCTGGTGGGGGTGGAGAACAGCACCCACGTTGTCTCTAAGGATATTAATGTCACTGATGAGCTTGAGGTGGCATTTGCTTCGCGCCTCTGACGTAGCCCTTTTGAAGCCATAGGCAGCTTTGACCGATCCACATGGTTGGGGACATCTAATGTCTAGTAGAGGTTGGTTGCAGTATTTCACATTGCCAGTAGGTGGTGCTTTAAGACGATGCCGAATTACATTTTCGTCTAGTGCAGTGGCTCTCAACCTGTGGGTCACGACCCCTTTGGCGGTCGGACGACCCTTTCACAGGGGTCGCCTAAGACCATCCTGCATATCAGATATTTACATTACGATTCATAACAGTATCAAAATTACAGTTATGAAGTATCAACGAAAATAATTTTATGGTTGGGGGTCACAACATGAGGAACTGTATTTAAAGGGCCAGAAGGTTGAGAACCACTGGTAGTGTAATAGCCTACATTACTGTATACTATCCTATATTCCAATAAGATATACTCTGATCCTTATTTTTTTAAATATATTTTTATTGATTTCACAGAGGAAGGGAGAGGGAAAAAGAGAGAGAAACATCAATAATGAGAAAGAATCATTCATGCCTTGACCAGGAATCGAACCATGACCTCCTGGTTCTTAGGTCAACACTCAACCGCTGAGCCAAGCCAGTTGGGGCGTGATCCTTCTTGAAAGTTACTTATTTTGGGATTGAAATTAGTGTTATTACTACCCATATCAATGGACATTTATGTACGTTACTTAACGTTAGGCATAAATAAATAGCATTACTTATCATTTTCACTTTAAATCTGGTTGTTTTATTAAACCTTTTTAGGAGTTTTGAAAATAGCTTTAGCCTGAATTTTCCACTATAAAGAAGATATTTAATGCAAAATTGCTTTCATGCACAGTAAATGCTTTCTATTTTATAATTTGGGTAATATCAGTTCAATTCAACCTTTAAAAGTGTTTCATGATTCAGGAGCCATGAGAGTTAGAAGTATACAAATATGATTATTATTGTGCAGTATTTTAAGTTTCCATTTTATAAATGCATTAATCATTTTTATGTTGTAGATTCTAGTAAAAGTTTAGCATTAAAAATGAAAATAAATATGATTTCATTTATGTGTGGCTGAGAAGGCATCTCATCTTTCTTAGAGCATTTTGCCATCATAAAGGGCATTATTCATGTGTTACAGAAACGTAGTTAAAGAATATGAACCTGTACTTACTATCTTTAAATAAACTGCATGCTGAGCCCTTGCTCCTGTGGGTGGGCCTCGGATGGTGGAAGAGACAGCCTTCCAGATGTCCCAGGCAGGGTCTCTGCACCACGTGGTCCTGGCCGTGGGAATGCTGTGAGACTCGCCTGGCTTTCCGAGGGACCTGGAGCTCTCTGACCCCGCCCATCTCCTGATCAGATTAGATCAGATCAGTTACTTTGCATCCTGGGATACAAGTCAGACGAGTGGGATGGCATCTTTTGCTTCTCCTTGTTTCTCTCCCTTTTCCCTGCTTTTCACAACTGCTTTGGCCAACTCACCAAGTCAGCTCTGACCAAAGCGAAGGTGCTATCAGCCTCCGACCTGCCATTCGTCGGGCTCAGAATTTAGGCCAAGACTGCAGCCCTGGGTTCTGTGTCCCCACTTGCTCCCTCTTTTTAGGGCCACTTAGATCAAGGGGGCCATTTGCCGGGAGACAACGGCCTTCCCCTCGTTGCTCACCACGCACTGCCATCCATGCCTGGACAGGACTTCGCCGTGACCTTTCTCTCTGCCAGGGCCCAGCGGCTCTGCTATTATAACACACTGTGTGATGCTTTACAGAAAGGCTAGCTTTAATATGCACTAGGTAGGTCAGCAGTATTACATAGTTAAACAGTGTGCAATCTTATTTTCTTTCAACTAGAGGCCCGATGCACAAAATTCAGGCCGGGGGCCTCTGCTGCTTCTGCCACGGTTCCCCCGCCGCAGCTTTGTCCAGAAGGAAGGATATCTGGAAGGGCACCTGGTCTAATTAGCATGTTATGCTTTTATTATTATAGATGACATGGGTTTACTAATTAACTTAGGCTCATTGCAATCTTCTATATAATAATAGCCTAAGTAACCGTTGCGGCGGAACGACCAGAATGACCAGTAGCTATGATGTGCACTGACCACAGGGCGGCGGGGGAAGGACAGACAGATGCTCGACTCAGGAGCTGCCCCCTGGTAGTCAGTGTGCTCCCACAGGGAAACCCCCTGCTCAGCCAGAAGCTGAGCTCATGGCTGGCGAGTGCAGCAGCAATGGCGGGAGCCTCTCCTGCCTCCGGTAGTGCTGAGGAGCAGCGAGCAGACAGGTGGTAAGGAGTGAGGGGTCCAGGACTGCGAGTGGGCACAGGCAGGGCTGAGGGACACCCCCACCCCCCAGTGCACGATTTTTGTGCACTGGGCCTCTAGTTTTAATATACATAGGATAGAATGAACAAATTAGGGCTGAATTATAATACATAGTTTAGGTTATTGCCGTAGCAACTTCCACATGTTTATACTTTTATTTGAGCTCTATGAAACGTATGTGGCTTTGACAGTTGATTTAACTGTTGATTTAACCTTTTGCAGATCCATGAGATATTTGATTGTCAAGAATGTATGAAGAAATTCATTTCGGCGAATCAGCTAAAACGTCATATGATCACCCACTCAGGTAAATTACATATTTTTAACTTTCTGTTGAAATCACTACCGATGTTTGCCTTGTCACTCAGGAGCGCTGAGAGAGGTCGTCAGGAGACCTGGCTGTTGGTTGTGGTGCAGCCATTCCCCAGCCATGCGGTTTTGAACAAGTTACTTAACTTCACTGGACCTCAGCCTGTCTATGGAGCCAGGGTGGCTGGTCTCAATGATTCCGAAGGTCTTCCAAGCCCCCCTTTAGTTTGTTCCTCAGTCCTGCTTGAGCCTCAGGCTCTGTATTCTTCATCTGTGACATGGGGCACTGGTTCGGACGCTTCACAGCTGCCGGGAAGGGAAATGAGCTGGTTTCTGTCCGTAGTCTGCAGAGGGCCTGACCCGGGGGACCGAGGCCGCAGTTGCAGCCCCTCCATCTTGAGATGCGTTTCCCGTCTCACTGAGGTCCCGGTAAACGTTAGTGAGATGCTCAGACATCCACTTTGAGGATGTTGGTTTTTAAAGCCGTAGTTTCAGTGCAAGCACGTTTGCATCAGAAAGGGGTCTGTAATACAGATTTTTAAAAAGCCAGCTCTGAGGATGATTTGTGCTTTGTGAGGTCTCTTTCTGGAGTTTAGGAAGTCGGTAACGTGAGGCCATGAAGGTCACAGTGTCGCTGAATGCCCACTGTGTTAGGAGACAGAGACAGATGTTTTCTCAAATGAACCTGAGAGGTCGGGAACGGGTGCCCCTCAGAAGGGCTTTGTGAGAAACAAACAGCATCTTCCTACCTCATTGTCAGCATGAGGCGTGTGAGCACAGGGGTTCCAGGGCCGCCTCGGGGCGTGGTGTCTCCCGGGCCGGACTCCCGGCCCAGCAGGAGGCGGGTCTGTCCTTTAAGTCCTCATGTCCATCATGGCCAGGCCACGCCTCGCGCCGGAGTGTGGCCCTGATGGAAGCTCGCACCTACTGGCGGGTTTTCCTCTTGGAAGTGGGATTTCTTCGTTGGACTTTAATGATCTTTATATCTAAGCTCTTCGCACCATCAGTGTACGAAGCGGGTCTCTATGAACCAGCTCCGCTTCCTGGCGAGCAGGCCCGTCAGCACCGGTGGGCGGCGGTGGGGGCCCTGCAGGCGCTTCCATCACGTTCAGGGTTGTTCCCATGAGGAGTCCCGGGAGGGGAGGCTGTTTTCGCTCCTTCGCTCCATGTCGATCTGAGGGGTCTGCTCTCCCTCTCTGCAGAGAAACGGCCCTATCGCTGCGAGATTTGCAACAAATCCTTCAAGCGGCTGGACCAGGTGGGCGCCCACAAGGTGATCCACAGCGAGGACAAGCCCTACAAGTGCAAGCGCTGCGGGAAGGGCTTCGCCCACCGGAACGTGTACAAGAACCACAAGAAGGTAAGGCTGCCGCTGCCCCTTTTCCCGACGCGCTGCCCTGATTTCCCGTCGTTTCTCCTTGAAGCCCTTTCTGTATGTCGGGGGCCGGCCGTCCCTGGAACAGCTGGAGGAGGCTGTGCTGTGGCTGAGCCCTCACTCGGGCCGTGGCCTGGGGACCCCGTGTCTACCTCCCACCCTCTGAGACCGCTCTCTGCACACGCAGAGGGTCCTGTGTCCTCTCTTCGGAACGGCACTAGTCACGCAGGCTTCCTCCTCCTCCCTCTGAGGTGGGGCACGCTGCTCACGTTCCCTCCCACATTCCCTCCCTTGCTGCAAGCACGGGTGCAGTCTGCACAGGTCTGCCTCCAGGCTCTCCACACGCCCGGGTCCCTCCCAGGGCCTGGCCGGAGCCCTGGCTGGTCCTCTCCTGTCTCCTCTGTGTCGGCCCAGCTGTGACCTCTGCCACCAACTCTCTCCTGACGAATCCCGGCGGATTTGCTTCTTGAATCCAAGCTTCAGACCCGCACTTAGGGCCGCTTGCTTGACCCATGACTGGGCATGTCTCTGACCCGAAGCATTTCGCATGTCCCGGGAGGACCTTTTCCTGCCTTTTGCCCCCATAGCCTCTCTCTCGGAGTTCCCTGGTTTTGTTCACAACTAAAGCATAGAATGACCCTGCGCCTTCTTTTAATTTTAGCCCCTTTTTGGAATGAGAAGGCAGTTCTTTTTTTTTTTTTTTTAATATATTTTTATTGGTTTTTTTACAGAGAGGAAGGGAGAGGGATAGAGAGGTAGAAACATCGATGAGAGAGAAACATCGATCAGCTGCCTCCTGCACATCTCCTACTGGGGATGTGCCCGCAACCAAGGTACATGCCCTTGACCGGAATCAAACCCGGGACCCTTCAGTCCGCAGGCCGATGCTCTATCCACTGAGCCAAACTGGTCAGGGCGAGAAGGCAGTTCTTAAAGCTTCTCTCCTCCGCCTAATCCCACCCCTTCGCAGTCAGACGTTGTGTTACCATCCTGCTGACTGCTTAGCATCACGGTCATGCCCGTCAAGGAGGCTTCTCGTCTCCCCACCTCCCACTGCCGTCCCTGCTGCCAGGTGAGCGTCCCCGAGCTCACCTGATCCGCCTCTCTGGGCTCTCGTGTTATTAGCAGATCCCAGTGCTGGGTAAGGCAGAGCACCACCACCCCCCCCCCCCCCCTGCCGCCCCATCCTTTCGCCCTCAGCAGCTTCCCGTCCTCACTCTGCCCACCACGCCTGGAACAGCTGACACTGGTCCTCATGGGTGTGACCTCTAACCCCCCTTCCCTTCCTCCTCCCAACAGGACTTACTTCACGCTGTCATCCCTCAGTTTTCTCTGTTGATTTTTGTTTGCGTTTCCTACACTTTCCGCAAGCTCTTCTTTCGGAATGTTCAGTTTTATCTTACCACCCTTGTGTATGTAATAGGTAATGTTTGCATTGAATTTAGAAAATTTGTCCAAAGAGACTCAACATCTCAGAAATGTCTGTTAACGTGCATTTGTGGTGTAATAAATATTTGCTTATTGATTTTGGTTCATGGAAGCGTGCTGTTAAGGGTCATGTATATACTATCTTTTAAAATACTTCGTTACTTTTTCCCCACTCGCAGTATTCCATTGGATTTATACAGTTGACCTTGAACAATGTGGAGGTTAGGGCGCCGACCCCCCGCCCCCATCGTCGAAACTCTTGTATAATTTTTAACCCCCCCAAAAAAACTTCAATGCTGAGAACCCGCTGTTGACAGGAAGCCTGACAGATCACATAAACAGTCGGTTAACACAGCCTTTGTATGTTATATGCATTGTACACTGTATTATTTCCATAAAGTGAGACAATGAAACGCATAGACATGAAAAGAAAAAGTTAAGAAAACCATAAGGAAACAAAAGTACATTTACAGTATTTACTGAAAACAAAACAAAACAAAACAAAAACCTTGCCTGTAAGTGGCCCCACACCGTCCAAACCCTGTTGTTCAAGGACCAGCTGTAGTTATTCCGGCGTTTGTTGGGACTTTCCAAAGACATCTCTATTGACATCATCTACAAAGTCAGGGTTTCAGCTTCCGTGTTCATCCACCAAGAAATAGAAGAGGCCGCCTTACCAGGAGGGAGCAGGTTTGATTGATGGCGTCTCGGGTGGCCGCTGCCTGATTTCTCGAGCCGTGTGCTGAGCGCGGCCTCAGACGTCGGCCGGGCGCCCACCTTCTGCCTCTGGAATTGCGTGACGGGAACACGCCCCTGGCCCGCTTCCTGCCCGGCCGCTGGAACTCTCTCGTTCTCTCTTTGATGAAACTGATCTGCCCGCATTTATGAGTTTTTCACAGTTTGGCTGCTGTTATGTGCCATGTGGGATTTGGCCCGTGCTCTCGGCACCATCGCTCAGACTGGGGGCCATAAATCATATGGAAGTAATAACGATGTCTTGGGAAGGACAGCAACAGCAAGGCCTGCAGTGTCCAAGGCGGACGCCCCCTCGAGCCTTCGCTGCAGACCCATGCGCGCTTGCTGTGTCTGGTCCTAGCACGTGTTTGCCTTGGTTTCGGGAAACTGTCCGAAGTGGTCTCCAAGCATCATGTGAAAAAAGCGAATTAACCTTTTCTTCTCTCGTGAGTCCCAAGTGGCCAGTTAGTTAAGAAACGGAAAAATGGGGATGTGTAACGCAAGCAGGAAAAACCATTACGAGTCAGACCAACGGGCTTCATTTAGCGTGACTGACGGTGGTTATTTTAAAGCAATGGACACTTTTGGTTGGTTTTTGATTATGTAACCTATGCATTTTTATTATACTTACTTATTTCGGTCAGTTAGTATAACCTTTAGGTTTGCTTGAAAAGGGAATGGACTCTTTCCTTGTGGGTATGACAGTAGGCAGTGACATTTTGAAGGAGTGATTTTTTGTCTCTGAAACGGAATGGCTCTCTGCATCCTCTTGCCGGTCATGTGGGTCAGCGTTAGTCTCCCTTCTCCCTGGTCCTTTCGGTCATCGTGGACCGGATTCATAGCTGTCGTTTAGGATGCAGCTAAAGTAAAGACTGTTTGTCTACATCCAAGGATATTGAGATCCTGTAAATCACAATTGGGCAGGCGGTTCAGAACCGCAGACACAGACACTGCTCAGTTAGTCTTCACCCTCCACCTTATTCACTATCAAACTTATTGCAAAACAGAACTGGGGAGGGTGAGCCTCCTCCTCCAGGCAGGACGCCTGACTGGCAGGACCCGCTGAGATCCGGGGGCTGGCAGTCCTCGTGTGATGGTGGCAGCGTGCACAGAGGACTTGTCCTGATGACGTCACACACAAGCTGCTGGGGACAGAGCTGTGTCTAGGCTAATAAAGACCCTTTTCCTAACCTTCCAGGGGTGAACTCTACTGGCCTGCTGGGACCTGTAGTCACACCTCTCGGAATAATTCCACGGGGCCTCCTGCGATAACTCATCCAGTGAATTCCAAACTCTGGGCCACGGGCACTTTGTGGGTCTTGGAGTCAGTTCAAGGAGCCACGGGGTAGCCATTAAAAATAGCACAGAAAGGGTAGGAATGAGGGTCATTTAATGGACTGATGTGTGTCTGTGTCTGTGTCCACGTGTGTGTACGTGTTGGATTTTTGTTATAGAAAGTATGTCTTTGGTCAAACAGTTCATGTTCATTAAACATGAACCTAATCGCTGCAGATCAGACTTTGCTCAGGTGAAATGTTGTAGCTCTTAAAGGAAAGGACTGGTCTCTCTCTAAATAGGTTATGGATTAGGCTCTAAAAGCATAAGGTACGTTTTGCACAGTAACAAAAAGCATCCTTGACAATTTCTTCGGAAGGGGCCACATTGGAGACTAGACGTCAGTCCCGATCGCTGCATCGCGGCCACTTGACTCCACCTTTGCGTGGGTTTCTCCTCTTGCATCTGCTGCAGGGGGCGCAGCGGGTGTTCCTGTAGGGGTCTGATCAGGCTGTACCTGTGCTCACACCACCTGCCTTTATAGGCTAGCAGATGAGGGGGCTGCAATGTGCTACCTGCTTCCCTATATTCACAGAGCTTCATCGTGGAAGAGAGAATACACTTGTTAGGATCGGGCAGCTAATCCATGGCAGACACGGTAAAGGCAGACTTTTTAAAAAATATAATTTTATTGATTTCAGAGAGGAAGGGAGAGGGAGATAGAAACGTCATTGATGAGAGAGAATCATGGATCAGCTGCCTCCTGCACACCCCCTACTGGAGATCGAGCCCACAACCTGGGCAGGTGCCCTGACTGGGAATTGAACCATAACCTCCTGGTTCATAGGTCAGCGCTCAACCACTGAGCCACACTGGCTGGCGGTAGAGGCAGACTTTTAAGTTAATGCCAGTGTAGTGAGCCAGAGGGTCCTTGTTGGAAGCAGTGCTGTTAGAACAGCGGTTCTCAACCTGTGGGTCGCCAACCTGTGGGTCGCGACCCCTTTGGGGGTCGAATGACCCTTTCACAGGGGTCGCCTAAGACCATCGAAAAACACACATATAATTACATATTGTTTTTGTGATTCATCACTTTGCTTTAATTATGTTCAATTTGTAACAATGAAAATACATCCTGCATATCAGATATTGACATGACGATTCATAACAGTAGCAACATTACAGTTTTGAAGCAGCAACGAAAATAATTTTATGGTTGGGGGTCACCACAACATGAGGAACTGTATTGAAGGGCCCTGGCATTAGGAAGGTTGAGTACCGCTGTGTTAGAAGCATCTTGGTTAGAAGCCTGAGGGAGCATCTGTGGGCAGCGTGGGGGACACGCGCCCTGAGTGGGAACCTAATCGCGGCCCCCCCAGGAAGACTCTTGACAGTTACGGGCGTCCCTTCTGCTGGCAAGTGCCCTTTGCTCGCCTCGGTGCCCTTACGGCTGCGGGATTTAGAGCTGGCTCCCTGGGTTATGGCTTTGTGCTAATGGACTTGTGTCTTGTAAGCAGTGCAAGGGCTGGGCTTGGCCACACGGGCGGTAATTCTGTAGGAACATCGCTGACATTTCATAATCCCAATTCTCTGTGTGGAGCGAGCTGCCTTGTTCCTGTGTTGAGCTCAGCGAAACAGATTGCTTTTCTGTCTTTCCAGTTGCATTCGTTTTTGTGAGACCGAGGCCGAGGAAGGAAGCCAGTTATAAAGCCAACAGTAAAAACTTAATTCACAGGCCTTGTTAACAGCCAGATGACGCACGTTGTAGGCAGCTTTCAGTTTATTCTGTGACCCGATGGGACGGTAACGTGCTTCTGATATGCAGACATGAGTCGTTAATAACAAAGCTCTCTCTTTTAAAAAGAGACTGGTTCTAACACACATATTCCTGGAGCATTTTCTCCACGTTTATTTTCTCTCTGTGCTTTCTCTGAATTTCACGAAAGTTCTCTTGCTTTGCTGCGTGACCCCGAGAAGAAGACCATCTCCGCAGATGCTGGTGCTGTGGAGCCGTGGCTGTGACTGAGAGCAGGTTATCATCTCAACTGCCAGTGGCCCGATGAAACCTGTGTTCTGTGCTCATGAAATTAATATTTGGTCTGTGCGGCTAGAAGTGTGCTGATTTGGAAATTATGATATAAAAGTTATGCTGCACTTGGTGACATTGTATTACGTGTGATGAACAGTGTGACACGTTTTCTCGTGTGTTTCCACATCTGCACTGGCATCAGACGTGGTGCATCCAGGGTCTATCTCATCGGCTGGTGCGGGGACCCGTTAGCGCAGCGGCAGATGGTGGTGCCATCAGTGACTTGGCATTTGAACGGATGAGCTATAGCTCAAGGATGATACGATTGAGGTCGGTGAAAAGTTCGTCTCCCTTTAGAGGTGAAAAATGGAAGGCTAGGTCACTTCACAAAAGCTGAGTTTCACCGGGTACTTGTGAAATCTTCTTGGGGCCCTTGCCGGTTTGGCTTGGTGGATAGAGCATCAGCCTGCAGACCAAAGGGTCCCTGGTTCGATTCCGGTCAAGGGCACGTACCTGGGCTGTGGGTTCCCCGACCCTGGTCGGGGCTCGTGCAGGAGGCAACCAGTCATATGTCTCTCACATCGATGTTTCTCTCCGTCTTTCCCTCTCTCGTCCACGCTCCCTAAAAACCAATGGAAAAATATCCTCGGGTGAGGATTAGCAACAAAAAGAAATAAAAAGAAAAGAAATTCATCTTGGGGACGGAAGTCTTCTGACCACGCGTGGCAGCATTGTCCCTCCACCGTCCTCACCGCAGGTGGTCTCCAGGGTCCTCTGAGCGACAGCACTTGCGGCTTAAACGCTGAGACGTCCACACCGCACGCCATCGTGCCCGGGTGACGGTGGCGGGTCCGTGACAAAGGTGTGTGTTCACCTGGCTCTGTGGACAGGTTGCTGCTCAAATACGCTGCTGACTTCCAGCTGGTATCTCGCCGTGGTGGCTGTGGTGTGCCTAATCCGGTTGCAAAGCACTTTGCTGTCCCACGTTCTGTTCTCTCATACTCAGCCGCCTACGTCATATCCACAGTGTCTCGCCCCGGATTTGGAGAAAGAGGAAGCCCGACGTAGGGTGGGACGTAATGTTTTGGAAGCCTGGAGCAACCCGAGGTTTCAGACCGTCTTGCCTCGCATTTTAAAATTTAATGCTTTCTCTCCTGCTAGTGTCCGGGCTCTGGCATGCCTAGAAAGCCTCCCCCCACTCAGAGTTCGTAGGTACATCTCTACTATGGAAGGCTGCACGGGTCGGCATGCCATCCGTGCACAGGGGCCATGCTAATCTTCTCTCCCTTTTTTAAAAATATATTTTTATTGATTTCAGAGAGAGGAAGGGAGAGGAAGAGATATAGAAACATCCATGATGAGAGAGAGTCACTGTTCGGCTGCCTCGTGCACACCTCACACGGGGATCAAGCCAACAACCCGGGCCTGTGTCCACAGGTCGACGCTCAACCACAGAGCCGTGCCAGCTGGGCTAATTTTCTCTGTATCGTTCCAATTTTAGTATATGTGCTGCCGAAGTGAGCACCAAAATTATATTAAAATTCACTGTATTTTCTTCTAGTATGCTTAGGGTTTTATTACAAACTTACAAACAAACACACACCTAAATTGAAATGAAATTTATCTTATTGTAAGGGGTGTGAACTAGACCAAACTTATTTTTTTCTGAATTTCTATCGGGTTGCCTAAAAACCATTTACTAAACATGTTACAGTCTTCCTATCTATTTGAAATGCCATATTTTCCTATATTAAATGATCATGTATTTTTGTAGTAAAAGAAAACTATTCTTTTTTCTATTTTATTACTCTACTTATTTCCACCTATCATTTTAGATTTGTTTTTTATTTGTTTGGTTAATCCTCATTCTAAGGTATTTTTTTCCATTGATATTTTGTTGTTGTTAATCCTCACATGGATATGTTTTTCCATTGATTTTTAGAGAGAGTGGAAGAGAGAGGGAAAGACAGAGCGAAACATCCATGTGAGAGGAACACGTCAATGGGTTGCCTCCTGCACGAGCCCTGATCAGGGCCCGGGCTGGGGAGGAGCCTGCAACCGAGGTACGTGCCCTTGACCGGAATCGAACCTGGGGCCTTAAGTCCACAGGCTGATGCTCTATCCACTGAGCTAAACAGTCTGGGGCTTTTCCATTGATTTTTGACTGGAAATTGAACCCATGACCCTTCTGTGTGTGGGCTGACAAGCTAACCACTGAGCCACCAGCCAGGGCCATTTTAAATTTCTATGGCTTAAATAGCACATTCGAATATCTGTAGCTTATCCTGATTTTTAAAGTATTTGTTCTTCTCATCCTTTCTCTATATTTTTCACAACCGAAAACAGGCATGATCATACCTTTCTCAGCAACACTATGTTTATCCTGTATAATAAAGGGGTAATATGCAAATTGACCCTAACAGCGGAACGACCGTAACGACCGCTGGGCCACTCACTATGAGGCACACTGACCACCTCTTGGTCCTTTTCCCCGACCAGTAGGCTCAGATCGCCTGATGGCAAATGGGGAACCGGGGATGGGTGGCAGGGGATGCAGGAGATGCCAGACCAAGGCCCCCACCCCGCCGGTCGCCCCACACACTGAGGGCGACCCGCAGCAGGGGTGGGGCTGGCGAGCAGGCGGGAACAGCCGACCTCTCGGTCCCTTCCCCCGGCTGTCAGGCACCGATCATCCAATGGGGAATGGGGAACCAGGGATGGGTGGCAGCAGGGGGCGGGGCCGGCTGCAGGCAGCTGGGGAAGATGGCCTTGATCGCAGGCCAGGCCTCGGGACCATACCTGCGCCTCGCCTCTAGTAGGGTTACAATGTCCATCAGATGAAGGAAATGTGTCAATCACTAGGCTGTGAATGGTGACTTTCCTTTAAAGTGTTCCCTTCATCTTTATCCCACATGCATCGTAAAACTCCATCAGTTACGTGATTTGTTTATTGTAATAAGGCACAGTGTGACTTGTGACGGGTTGGTGGTACCTTGCCACTCATGGTGGAACCGGGCTTTAGCCACTGATTTTCGCCAAATGGATGAATGCTGGTGTAGGATGGGAGGCAGGGGTTCTGTTTTTGAGTTTTAGATCTAACAGGCGGTTTGCAGTTGTTGTTTATCAGCATATTTTGTTTTATGATGCTCATTGCATCTGTGCGATTGGACAGTTAGCAAATGACTGAGACTGTTGGCGCCTTAGTCTTCTCATCTGTACACGGGGACAGTAGAGCATTATTCGCTGAGTTGCTGCTAGAATTAAGTGAACTAACTCATGGAAGGTGGTTCGCATCTGACACAAAATAAACATTTAACGCATCTACCGAGCATTAATTACAACGAGTCGCTGTCCTGGTTTAATGGGGGGAGCATCGCCCAGGACTGAACGTCCCCTGGAGGTGGTCACTGACGTGGCGGGGGGCGGGGGTGGAAACGGTCGCCCTGTCCCTTTCTGATGAGGCACCGGCCCCGCAGTTAAAGCCCTTGGTGGTCAAGGCGCTTCAGTCTCAGAGAAACGACACCCTTGTTGGACGAGAGCCCGAGAAACCCCTGCTGCATGCTGGGGAGTGTTTGGGGTCATGGGCACCGTTTCCTGGACCACGTATGAACACGTGTGAAACGTCTATCCGGTGCGAGAATGTGCAAGGACGCTTGCTTGTCCCGTGCGCACAGCATGTTGGTGAGAGTGGTTTGGGGTGAACGGCGGTCACCGGGAGAAGCAGGTTATGGGCCGCGTCCCCTTCTCTCCTCTTTCTCACCTGGACCCGGAGCTCCCTTTCCTGTGAGGATGTGTGGGCTCCGCGTCCTCCTGACTCAGTTTCTCCTCCGCAGACCCACTCCGAGGAGAGGCCGTTCCAGTGCGAGGAATGCAAGGCCCTATTCCGGACCCCGTTTTCCCTGCACAGACACCTGCTCATACACAACAGTAAGTGCGTCAGGCGGGCAGGGCCCCGGGATGGGATGACCTTGCACTTGTGTCCCCCGGCCCACCCCCGGCCCACCCCCGGCCCCAAGGAGCTGTCTGCTGTGCACACAGGACAGTAATCGCCTCTCATCTTCCCTCGTTCTTGTTTGTTTTCCCACAGGAAGATCAGCCATTTTAGGAGACATTTTATTTTATGTCACTCGCACCATCATTTAGTTTGTATGGAACACATAGCCTGTGTCCTGAAAGGTGGCTTTGAAATTTGCTCTAAAGCAGACATTTTGGTCCCTTTTAAATGTAAGGCTGTACATTCTTGGCTGCCGAAGTGTTTTGCAGTTTGATGGGAGTAGCAGTGGCAGGGGCTTACATACCCGCAAATCTCACCGAGGTGTGGCCCCGCCCAGTGAGACATACATGAAGGACTAAGGGAACAGAGCAGAGGCTGGGGGAGGGGGGGGGCAATGTGATTTTAGGAGCTCACAGGCCTTTGCTGATGGGGAAGGTCAGCGTCACATCGAACGTGACCTCTGAGTTGAGGAACTGAGAGGATGGGGTGCAGAGAGGGCAGCACGGACTCGGCTCACTGTGCGGGGAGCGGCTCGCGGTGCGGGGAGCAGCCAGCTCTGCGTCCGTCCGCTCTTCCCCGCTCAGCACGCCCTTCCTGGGCAGGGGTGCAGGGGTGCGGTTTTCCTTTGTTTATCAGACACACCCACCCCACGGAAGTCTGCCTAGCGTCACACCCAGAGCCGTGTTGAGGGGACCCCGGAATACACAGCCACCTCACCGAGGCCATCACTATGCTGTAGAGGAGAAAGTGCGACCGCGAAGCCGAAGGGCCAAGTGGGGGCAGCGTCCAGGTGTTCGTGACCACAGCACCTGACACAGAAGGGAAAACGGTGTCACGAGTCACAGTTGCTTTTCTTGCTTCTAATTGGAGTTGTTTACTCAGTAGATCACCCTCCACAGATGAAGGTTCCACTGCTGATTGCATTTTTAATATTTGTGAGGGAAGCGAAGTCGTTGCTCATTCTTGACAGCTGATTGCACAGATAAGATAGTATCTTGGAAGAAATTTTCTCTGGCCCATGGAAGTATCGAAAAATCAGAATGATAAAGATGTTAAGGCTTTTATGAAAGCTGAGCTGACGATGGTAATGAAAGGCATCTTTTCCCATAGAAAGCTGCTCTGGGGACGTTCTTAGCAGACTCTCCGCTCTCCTTCCAACGCGCAGCTGTACGTTTCATCAGCCCCGCGTGTCACGGAACAGCCGGCGCTTCCATCCCGTCTCCCTGTCCTTGGGTCGGGAAGGACCACTGTTCTGAGATGAGTGGGTTTTAGAACAAGGACTTACACACGGGAGCCTCGTTCATACTCTGAACACTTGCAACCGTGGCCTCAGACTCAGGACATTTTTCTTTGGATAGATGAAGTTTTATTTATTTTATTATTTTTTAAAATATATATTTTTTATTGATTTCAGAGAAGAAAGGAGAGAGAGATAGAAACATCAATGATGAGAGAGAATCATGGATCAGCTGCCTCCTGCACGCCCCCGACACGGGGGATGGAGCCCACAACCCAGGCCTGTGCCCTGACCGGGAATTGAACTGTGACCTCCTGGTTCATAGGTCGTCCCTCAACCACTGAGCCACGCCGGCCGGGCCGAAGTTTTATTTTTAACAGCAGCACGGAATTCTCGGGAGAAGGAATCCAATGCTTTTGACTTCATCCTGTTGGTTCTGATCAGTCTGAGGCAGAGGGTTGAGGCCACCGAGGCTGGGCCGTGCCTGTGTGTTTGATATAAAGTTGATCAGCACATTGATCAGGGGGTTTATGAAGCTGCATCACGACATGTGGTTAGAAAGGTCGACTCTGGAATTGGGCGAGGAAACGAGTGATTTAAGGAGGATGGGAAACTGGGCGGTGCAAACGGAGGACAAAACACCAGACCGTGCCTGACACAACAGGACGCTTAAAACCCGTTTAACTTTACCACGTGGAGGTGGTATCAGACACTGCCGTGCGCTCACGGCACGAGGAAAACTTGCCACAATTATTTTGGAAATTACTGCCATTTTCTAATATTCTGAAAGCCGAAAAGCAGGCTCCTAGCCAGCTTCTCGATTTTAAAATGGGGGGAAAAATTGGATAAATTGAAGGCAAGGAAATCTGGTAAAATCAGATAAAATCTCAACAGAATTTTAAAATTCTGATACACTTTAAAGCCAAGAACCCCGGAATGAAAACGCGCGGGGAAAGGTGCCGCGTAGCGAGGTGCTGTTCAGGGTCACGCATTTTGCTTCTCTTGACAGTTTAATGAAAGTGCTTGGCCAGGCGCAATCTTGGAGGATTTGGTTTTTAATTCCTTTCAGTGTCTGACTAAGATCTGGTATAATTAACATTCGTAACCTTGTGTCAACTCATCCTTCACTTTGCTCTCACTGGTTCTACATTTTACACAAAAGAAATGTTCAGATCTAGCTAAAGAGACACATAGAGACAAACTGGGTCGCCACAGCACCCCCCACGACACAGACGCACTAAGCAACTGCCGACGAAGCGCTCAGAACCGGCCCCGGCCTTCGATTCCCGCGTGGCCCCCACGTGACTTTGTCTCAAACACCAGATCTCAACAGGCCTCTGAGAGACGAAACAGCCGCTTTCTGATGGAAAACACAAGGGGGGTGGCTTGCCTTCTCCCCCTTTCTCCTTCCCTTCTCTTTGTCCCTCAGTGTGCTGGGAAGGAGCCCGAGGACCCCACAGGCCCAAAGGGACGCTGGCTGTGATGGAGGCGTAGGGGGCGGGGCCGAGGCCACCTCTCACCGAGACTAGAAAGTTGCCCGTGTCGCTTGCCCCAGTGAACGTGTGAATCTGTGCTGATGCCATTGTTCTCTAAAGGGGAACATGCATCTGGTGACAGTCCGTCTCGCACGCATAGGGCCGTGGGCTACGTGCACTGACGGCTTCCCGCGGGAGGCGCTGTCTTCTGATTGTGCGCGTTCCCCGCTTAGAGTGCTGGAAAGGGTCACCGAGAGCCCGACGTGCCAGGAAGAGCTGAGAGATGGCGTTCCGTGAACTTTAGAAAGTGCCCAGCGCTCCCTGAGCTGCTTCCCCTGCAGCCGAGGCCACGAATGAAGGCACCCGGGGCTCTAGGGCAGCGGTTCCCAACCTTCCTCACGCCGTGACCCTTCACACAGCTCCTCATGCTGTGGTGACCCCACTTTCATTGTCACAAATGGAACATCATTAAAGCATCGTGATTAATCACAAAAACAATATGTAATTATATATGTATTTCCCGATGGTCTTAAGTGACCCCTGTGAAAGGGTTGTTCGACCCCAAAAGGGGTCGCGACCCACAGGTTGAGAACCGCTGCTCTAGGGTCTAAGCCAGGAGTTGCCACTCTAGGCTCCCCTGTCCCCCCCAAACTGTCTGAGAGCCTGGGCAGAACCCCTCCCCCAGCAGCTTCACGCCCACTAAGGACCACTGTGGGGTTCCTGTCCACATACCTGAGACCAAGTCCCAGAGACCGTGCTGAGGCAGGCGGGGGGATCGAGGCCCCCGTCCCGGGATAGGAAGGTCACTCTGTCTCCCTCAGGCCCTCGCCCCCCAGCTGGCTGCCAGTGACCAGGCCTGCCCGTGCCCCAGCCCTGGAAGGCCGTGTGGACCGTTGTGGGATTGAGGGGAGAAATGAGGGGTCCCCAGTGCAGCTCCTCTCCTTGACAGAGGCCTTTTGTCCCCACAAGGCTCACTTAGCTCAAACCCTGCCCTGGAAACGTACTTTTAAAACAAGTTGATGGACCCTCAGGAAATGAATTCAATGCCCACATTTCCAGGTGCAGAGGCTGAGAGTATGCGAAGGTACAGGGCTTTCCTGGCCGCACAGAGATTCTAAATGTGGAACCCAACTTGTCGTGACCCACTCCCCTTTGCGGGTGGGATACGCGGTCAGAGCCCTAAGCCAACCTGCGGGGGGTCAAGACCAGCAGGTGTGTGCGGGCCGCTGGCGGGACCCGCTGGGGCACCTCATTTCCTCTCCTGTGACCTCCTGTTTCCCAGGTGAGAGGACCTTCAAGTGCCATCACTGCGACGCGACCTTCAAGAGGAAGGACACGCTGAGCGTGCACGTGCAGGTGGTGCACGAGCGGCACAAGAAGTACCGCTGCGAGCTGTGCAACAAGGCCTTCGTCACGCCCTCCGTGCTGCGGAGCCACAAGAAGGTCAGCGCCGGCGCGGCTCCGCTCCCGGCCTCGCGCGGGGCAGCCTTGCAGGCGGGCGGCCGCGGGGCCTGGACGGTAGCCCGCAGGGTTATTTTCAAGTTCCCACGGATGCGTGGGTCTAAGGGGTTTGGAACCAGTGGGGATGCGCGTGACAGTGGTTTAAAGTCTCGCTGTGAGACTGAATCACTTGAATGAAACGTAAGCCAGGAGGAAAGGGTTTGCCCTTCGTCATCGTTACCTGTTTCTCTGGATTGACCCTCAACTCTTTGGACCCGCCCCCGTAGACACACACGGGAGAGAAGGAGAAGACCTGCCCGTACTGCGGCCAGAAGTTCGCCAGCAGCGGGACACTCCGCGTGCACATCCGCAGCCACACAGGTGAGCGGGCAGCTCAGGCCCCGCGGGGGGGCAGGGGGGTCGTCCGGGACCAGGGCGTCCTAATGCCACAAAACATCTCCGACGGAGAGTCCATCTCGCCTGTTTTCTCCCTTAAAGTTTCATAAAATCCGATTTCTGATTCTAGAAAAATGTTGAATAAGCTGCCTTTCTCAAACTATCTAGCGTGGAGATAAGCCGCTCGCTGTCTGGCTGTGCTGTGACTGATGTGATGTACACACTGTCCAGGGGACAGAAGAGGGAGCGGATCACTCCCTGTGGAGGCCGGGGGCCTCCTCTTAATCCTCCTGTCAACCTCAGGAAGCGGCGTTTCCCAAAGGCCCTGTCCTGTAGGACCTCACACCCTTCCCCGGCTCTCCCATCCGTCACGTTCAAATCCGTCGGTGTGACGGCTCTGACTCGCACACAGACCACTGGGGAGATGTGGGCTCCCTGAGCCACAGGCCTTCCCGTGCTCACGTCAGCACCCACCTCATCCGACGGGTCTGCGGTCCATTACGTGGCAGCGGACTCAACTCTCCTCCATTCTGAGTGTGCCTTGATTCCTCTAATTCCAGCTCCCTCCCTCTCCCTCCTGTCCTTCCTTCTTTTCGTCCTTCCTTTCTCTTTAAATGACAGGCTCCCTGCTTTTATATGAGAAAGCAAGTGTTCACAAAAACAAGTCTGAATGGCCGTAGTCATGGTCACTTCGTATCGAGGACAAACTGCTCCCCGGGAAGAGCCGCCGGTTCTGCCCCTCGAGGCCGCGCCTTCCCGCTGAGCCTCCCGCGTGGGTCCCTGTGCGTCCCGGGTCACAGGGGTGCCCACTCCCACTTTATCCAGAGAGCAGTAGAGGTGGGTTCATCCGACGTGATGAGGTTGACCCTGTGGAACTGGCATAGCCAGGAGCAGCGGGTAGCGAGCAGCAGGGTAGTGATCTGGCCCCTGCTGGGGGTCTCATCCAGCAGCGACCAGGAGGCCCCCGCCTCCCATCACTCGGACATCACTCCCGGTTACCGCGGCACTGTGTTCATCGGTTCACCTCCACACTCAGCTGCAAAGGCCGGGCGGGCGGGGCAGGTTCCCACGGCCCTGCTCACTTCCTGTCACTGAACCTGAGGCTCAGACAGCAAATGGCCCAGCCAGTCCAGGGAGTACGGGAATGACCTACCTAGTCAAGGAGATAGAATCCAAGTGTGGTCCCTTCTACCCAGCTGTTATGATGAACACAAGGAGCGTGGCTGGTATGGCTCAGTGGTTGGGTGTCGACCTATGAACCAGGAGGTTATGGTTCGATTCCTGGTTGGGGCACATGCTGGGGTTACAGGCTTGATCCCCAGTGGAGGGCGTGCAGGAGGCAGCCAAGCAATGATTCTCATCATTGATGTTTCTATCTCTTTCTCCCTCTTCCTTCCTCTCTGAAATCAATAAATATTTATAAAAAATATACAACACAAGAATTATAAAATGCTCTAAGTTCTCCAGTATAAAAGATGAGGAATGAAATTCTAAAGGTCTTAACATTACTTCAGTAGTTTGAAAGTGTTGTGCTTTAGAGCCAAATGAAAGGTGCTCTAAAATTTTTATTTTCACATTCCCATGTTCATGTACTCCTGAGCCACCTTTATAGCGGCAATAACATACAGAGTACACGGCGGTTAAACGTAGTTTCACCAGGTTGCTTTTTTTTTTTTAAAGGGTTTTATTTTTAGAGCAAGTTTAGGCTCACAGTAAAATGAAGGGAAGGTGCAGAGAGTTGCTCATCTACCTCCTCCCCCGACACAGCGCCCCACCATCCACATCCCCAGCCCGAGGGGCGTGTCTGTTACAATCCATCAACCTGTGCCAACACATTATAAACCCCAAGCCCAGCGTCTACCTTAAGGCTCCCTCTTGCTGTTGGACATCCTGTGGGTTCGGGCAAATGATACCAACACGTGCCCGTGATTGGAGTTTCACTGCCCCGAAACCCTCTGTGCTCTGCCCATTCGTCCCCCAACTCTCACCCGGCAACCACCGAGTCCCCCCAGTTTCCCCCGAACGTTACCCAGCGGATGGGTTGCTTTATTGCGCCCAGGAAGTGGCTATCAACGGATGGCCTTTCCGCGAGGCGACAGGCACTGAGCACTCTGCCGTGTGCCGAGGTGCTTATGCAGGTCATGGTCTTTTCTGTCTCCTCATGGTGTTGAAAGAGCCGGTTTCATTTTGTTGTTACAGTGTTCAAACCGTCCATCAGTATTTTGGGAAGCGGATTCTCTCTCGTAACCTCAGCCCGGTTTTATGAAGGGGAGACATGGCCGCAGCCTCGGGCTCCTCCTCCCATTTGCTGGTGTCGTGCGTCACTTCCTGTCTCGTGTGTAGGTGTGGTGTGTGTCTACTTCACGTTCACTTTCTCTGAACCGCTCTTACCCTTCTGGCTCAGACTAGCGGCCATTCTCTAAGACGGTGATAACTTAGCTATTCAGTTACTACCTGTCTGTTCCTTCTGGGAGGAATCTTAGTATTTTCTCTGTTTAAAGGAAACCTTTTGAAAAATGCCTCTGGTTCTTCACATGTTGGTTGACTTTATCCTTTGCTGCCTTCGCTAACCAACCAGTTGTATCAGCTGTACCCTTGTCTCACCTCTTCTCTGTCCCTCTGCCCCATTCCCATTCCCATCCTTCGGTACTGCTGGGGCGAAATCTGAGAAAATTTGGTTTTTCCATTATCCTTGAGAATGTTATTTTTCATAAACTTTTGTATCTACCTTCTGAAGTCTACTCATTCTTCGTAATTAGGTGATTTGAATAAGGGCATGTACATCAAATGTGCACAAGACATTTTGCTTTTATACATCATTAAACTATAGTATTCTTTCTTAAAAATATTTTTATTGATTTTTAAAGAGAGAGGAAGGGAGGGGGAGAGAGAGAAAGAAAACATTGAGGCAAGAGCGCAACATCGATTGGCGGCCATGCACACCCCCCCACCGGGGATCCAGCCCGCAACCCGGGCATGTGTCCTGACCGGGAATTGAACTGGCGACCCTTTAGTGGACAGAATGATGACCAACCAACTGGGCCACACTGGCCAGGGAAAAATATAATATTATTGACTTTTAGTATAGAAAGGAATTTCAGGAAGTTTCTAGTTCAAGCCTCTTAGTTGAATTCACACACATCAAAATCCAGTGATTTGCTCGTTACAGAACTCGTGTGTGGTTCCTCCAGAACTGAACGAAGGCTTCCGTTTTCCAGTGTCACCTGGCTGGTGTTTTATCCCTTGTTCTCTAACAATACCCCCTAACCTCCCGTTGCTCCTGACTTACCATGGGTTACGTACATGCTTCCCACAATGTGTGATGACATCCTCTGGGTCATCAGCCAGTTGAGGATACTCATCTGCACTTGGACGCGTAGGGGTGTGGCATGTTACTTATGGTCTAACTGAGCACTTCACTCTGGAGACACTTTCCCACCACAAAACCAACGGTCCATGAGACCTTACTACTCCGTGCTGGTTCATATGAGAGCATGCGTCTGTGCCCGGCAGGCAGCTGTCATTCATCACCGGCCTCCCGGGCTGGAGTGCCGCCGGTGGCACCCCGAGGGCAGCAGGAACAGCGGCTCTGCCTCCCGACCGTCCACAGCGTCTCAGGTCAGCTGGAACTGGGGTGATTCCGCAAGAATCTGTGGACTGTGACAGGGATTCTGACCGTCGTTCATAAATTATGAGAGAAATTCTAGGAACTGCTTTTGGGCCAGAAGGTTAATTACCTGCCTGCAGCTCCCCGGTCTGCGTGTTCGTAGATGCCGGCTGTGGGCCTTCTGTTCCGGGCTGGCTGCATGCTGCTGTTCGAACCGAGTCATAAATCACTGTCTCAGCAAACATTTAATATTTCAGTAAATACCTGTGATCTGCTTAGGAATAGAGGTTCAGTATAATTTGCTTCTACTTGGATTTCAGCCACTACTTGTCTGTCTTCTCTAATGTTTTTTATTAAAGGAATCCATTCATTTTTAGAATATTTGTTCACAGGTTTAAAAACACTAGCAATAAATAATCTTATAAAATAAAAGACTAATTATGCAAATTGTCCCCACAGGCAGGAACTGTGACCTCCTGGTTCATGGGTTGTTGCTCAACCCCTGAGCCACGCCAGCCGGGCTATTTTATATATTTTTTAATCTTCCAAGTTGCTCTTGGCCATTACTGCTCAATCTGTCGCATTCAGTGTGTTTACTGGCATGACATAAAACTTGATCTTCTGAGCCATCTGACCAAGTGGTCAAGTTCATTTCTTAAATCCGTGGCCTAATTTAAGTGTATCAAGATACCTCATTTAAGAATACCAGGATTTGCAAGGTTTTTCTTTATTAATTTCATGTGACCTAAACAACGATCTTTGGAAAGGATTTGTGTCCAGATGTTGGACAGTGAGGTGGTTTTGTAGCCATCGATGGATAGTCAGTATTCGGGGGCTTTAGGGTCCTTGTATGTGAGCACACACGCTAACCTTCACTCCCTCCACAAACGTCAGATGCTGTTTTAATATCAGTATGTTGCTCTTTGGTGAGAACCAGAGTTCTTCTCACGTCTTTAATTAATATTCCATTGCATAAAATAATGGCAGCGTTAATAAATTATTATTCTAATAGCATGCATTAGACTAGAATCGGGTTTCCCCCTATTGCCTTTAGCCACCTTTGCATGGTTGTTGTCATAATGCATTTTCTTTGTTAAAGACTCCCGGTGGGTGACTTGCTTAGGGGCTGGGCTAGACCCTGGTAAGGGGTTCCATGTGGCATCTGGATGTCCCCTGTGGAGGGCATAGTCCCGTTTCCTGGAGCCCTTTCCTGACATTTCCCACCTTTCCTCGCCCTTTCACACCTAGAATATCTTGAAGCTCCTTCCACCTCAGGCGTGCCGGCAGTGAGACTTTGGAGGCACTAGCTCATTACGATAAGATAATCCAAAGATGGAGACTTACCCAGAGTGTGCTCAGATGATCTTACACCGGCCCC